TTAATTTCCAAATTACTTCTCTAAAACCACAAGTTTTATTTCTTTTTCTAATCAGCTTTCTCAGGTTGAACACAGGTTTTACTTCTATTAGCTAGAAACGTGAAGGAGGAGTTCTATTTCATGATTGTGATTCCAATCCCAATTCATAAAAGAAAAAAACCCAAAAAACCCACCTATTTATTTCTCTATCTGTCTATATATAGATAGATAATGATGTATATACATCTTAGTCTAGATCTCATGGGGTGAAAAAATGTAAAAAAATTAAAAAATTTTTTAAAGATGTACACATCTTTTTACCTGCATACCCTGTGGTGCAGTTATGTCTTAATTCATAAATTTTGTTTTTGTAGTGTTTCTTTGTTTAGACATATTAGCTTTAGCATATTTCTTATCTCCCTCCATGTCTTGCTCCCCATCTTAGATTCCCAATTCAAATGAATGGCCTCAACACCTGAACAGATTATTTTCTGTCTCTCTTCTCCAACATGCTTCTGTCACACCAAATTCTTCAGATTTGCCTGTGAAATTTCATTTAAGTCTGGCTCCTCCAATTCCTTTAGATTGTCATTACCTTAGTTTAAAGCCCTCATGATGTCTTACTGAGACTTTTACAACAGGCTCTTACTGATCTATTTCCCATTTCACTCCCCTCTAACATATCTTCTAAACTGCAAACATGATTTGACTCCTCTTCCAGTTAACATCCTTCAGTGGGTATCTACCGTGTATATGAAATGCAAACTTCTTGATATTGCCTGTGAATATCTCTAGCTTCATTTTCCTTCATTCCTGTAACACTTTATTTACCAGCATTTTTAACTACTTGCAGTTCCCAGAACCCTATTTGTTCTGTCACTTTTCTCTAACTTTGCGTAAATAGTAGTGATTATTTCCCTTCCATGGCCAAGATTTCATTGTCCTTTTAGTAAATTCCTATGTAGTTGTAGGGAAAATTGGGTACTTATTGCCCATTGCTCCCATGGCAGCTCTTTTGCATTGTTACTGGAGCACTTGCTTAGGATATAGTTAAATATCTGCTGAATGAACAAATCATTAAGTGTCTGTTTACTTGTCTGTCTTGAATATGGTTTGGCTGTGTCCTCGCCCAAATCTTATCTTGAGTTGTAGTTCCCACAATCCCCACGTGTCATGGGAAGGACCTGGGGGAGGTGATTTAATCACGAGGTGGTTACCCTCATGCTGCTCATGCTGTTCCCGTGATACTGAAATCTCACGAGATCTGATGGTTTTATAGGGGTCTTCCCCCTTTACTCCATACTCATTCTGTCTCCTGCAGCCCTGTGAAGAGGTGCCTTCTACCCTGATTGTAAGTTTCCTGAGGCCTCCAAGCCATGCAGAACTGTGAGTCAATTAAACCTCTATCCTTTATAAACTACTCAGCCTCAGGCAGTTCTTTCTAGCAGCATGAGAACAGACTAATACAGTCTTCCTTGCTTGACTCTGCATTCTAGAAAGATGGGGATTTTCTGTTTGGTTGTATTTGCATCTCTATCACCTAGCAGAGGGCCTGGTACATACCAAGAGGTCAGTATATATTATCTCAACAATGTTGAAGAACTGTGAGGAAGATCTTCTAATGGATCCAAGACAAGGTGGGGAAGAGAGCCTGAACTATAGTTCTGTGGTGGCAAGCCTTCAGTCTGCTGTCAGCCTAAAGCAGGTTGTATCTGTGTAATCCTGACTTGCCCCTCCACATTTCAGTGTATAGCTAATGTTATGAGAGAAGAGATCTGGCTGCCATTCCACAATTCCAGTCCAGTCCAGGCTTTTAACATAACTCAGAATTGGCTAACGTAGCCCATAAGCTGAGATCCTCAAATAAGAAGTTTCTACAAGAGAATTTAGAACTTCACTTACCTCAAGGCTAAGCTGGTATTTATTAGAATAGAGATTTATTAGATACCTCTTATGTGCTAGGCACTTGTCTAGGTTTGCAATACAAAGGCAAATAAACATGCATCCTTTACATAAAGGGCTATCACTATACTACTAAGGGAGGGAAGAAATACACATAGACCTTTTCTATACAAATAAAGGGTAAAGGGAGGGCATACCAAGAAGAACGGACAGTGGAAGCAAAAGCACAGGGTACAAGGGTACCTGCTGTGTTTGCTGCTTAGTGGGTACATCATCCAGGGCATCTGGAGTATTGTAGGAAGTATGGTAAAGACAAGTGAAAGATTGGGCCTGAAATTGGAGGCTGTATCCAATTTGTGGAGGAACTTGAATGCCATGCTATGACATACTGCCTTCTTGTGATCCAGAGAGCTGGTGTAACTTGATGTGGTTTTCAAGGAAAGAAAGTTGCTGAGTGAAAATAAAACACTTGGAAGAGCTGCAAAAGAGGCAAAGAAAAAAGAAACTGTGTTTCATTTCAGTCAAGGCAAGGAAGCAAATTCAGTGTTCCAGAAAAGAGAGGAGTGTTTTCTTCACAAGAGAACTATAATTCCAGACACAGAGGAAGAAGGAAAATAGGGTTTGGTCGGGGACAGACAAGGAAGGAGGCAGGCTTTCTTGGGCAGACATGAAAAAATGGGAAAAACCGGCTAACCCAAAGGGTTTAAAATTGGCATCACGAAGGGAGAATTCAGGGAAGAGAAAGGTAAGAATGTGGGAGGCAGACAGATTGGCCATGGACAGAATAAAAAACCAGGGTTCCTGTTGGAAGTCTGGTAGAGTTATAGAATTCTGAAGATTTCTTCCTTTCAGGTATTAGAAAAAAGCTGGAGGAATTAGCAGTAGGCTTCTGCTAGCATAGGAAGCTGGTTTTTTTTGTACATTTTCCCTAGGATCCCCTAATCTCATAGCCATAATGCTTGCAAATACTCCTCTCTATTTCCTCTCAATAATTCACTTGGTCCTGAAAAAGAGTCCCAGTTGCTTAAAGTGTAGTAAGATGCTGCAGCCTGTTTTACTGAAGTGTTCTCCCTTCATTTAATTGACCCAATCGAAAGGTCACTTTAATATGACTAGAATTAGGCCAACCTAATGGGCTATTTGCATTTGACTACTTGCATAGTACTCTCAGGTAGTACATAATCTGTTGGATAGAACTGGGAGTGATAGAAATTTGGAGAAATTTAGAAAGGTTGTTGAACCATGAACTTTAACACCATTGCTTCTTTTTTTCTCTGCTACCATGAAGATTTTCACTAGGGAAAACAAAAAAAAAGCTGTAATTCCAACAGGAACACTGAATAGTTTTAATTGATTGCTAGTAACAATAGCAAAATTTGTTACAACAACCAAAGAATCAGTGAATTTCTTCTTTGGAAGGACCCTTAAACACTGTCTTGTTTCTCTCTATTCTGGGACCTGAATTTACTTCATACCCCTTCCGCCCCCAGCCCAGTGAGCACCCAGTCATTTGTCGTCCTTTTCCTATTCTGCTTAGAATTTCAGAAGCTGCCAGTCTCATCATGAAATGGCACAGGCTGATAGGAAAAAGGTTTTAGATTTGTTCTTAATGGTAAGCTGATGTGCAACCCTCAAGATTTCACTCCTTGATTCTGGTTTGACCCTTTGAAGCTATACTGAGTAAATCCAATCCTTCTTCCATGGACCATTCCTTCAGATATTTGAAGGGAACTCTCATAGCTCTCCTGCAGTTTATCTTCTCCAAGCTAAATCTCTCTCCAGCTTTTTCAGTTGTATTTCAGATGGCATGTTTTCAAATCCCTTAAACCATTTTTCTTTCTCCTTATTTAATGCGCTCCAGCTTCACTTTAAAAATGTATCATTAGGTGTGGTCTGGCCAGTCTAGAGAACAATTGTAATGTTAAGCAATGGTGTTAAAGTTGATGGTTCAAAAAAATTATAGTTGCCGGGCGCGGTGGCTCACGCCTGTAATCCCAGCACTTTGGGAGGCCGAGGCGGGTGGATCACGAGGTCAAGAGATCGAGACCATCCTGGTCAACATGGTGAAACCCTGTCTCTACTA